TTATATCTCTTAAGGTTTTATCGGTATTCGTTTTTTTGGGTTGGTTTTTCAGTTATTCTTTGGATCGGATTGGATCTGATCACAATTTTTTTATTTGTAGCAGACTCTGCTTCATTGGGTAGTAAAATAATTTTAATTATCCAAAAAAAAATATTATATTAAACCCATAACATGGTATACTCATTATTAAAAAATCAATAATATTATTTTTAAAGTATTATAATAATTAATAGATATCATTTATGTCAACAAAATAATTATTAGAATATTATTTTTCATTTTTTAAATTTTAAAATATTATAAATTTTATTTATTAATGAATAATAGTAGTTTTTTAATTATAAAATAATATTTGTATGAATATAATAAATTATATTAATTTATTATATATTATTAAAAAAGAATATTCTATTATAGTATAACAAGATAATTGTTCAATAATATTAAATATTTATTTATTTGTAAAATTTATTTTATATTTTAAAGAATCACACATTCATCAATCTCACGTAATAGTAGTAACAAAATAAATAAAAACAGCAATAAATAGAATTTTTGTCATTTCTTCTCTCAAAGCTCTAAGATCTCTTACGTCTAAATCTACCTTCAAAAGCATTAACGGAGAGGGGGGGGGGAAAAGAAAGAAAAGGTTTGTTGTTTCATGCCAAAGAAAAAGCCCATAAACATAAGCCCAAATAGATTGTGTAGTTTCTCTTTTGTTGAATACATTCACAATTTATAATTCGGAAAATGTATTAGGGAAAGACGTCAACAAAAATATCAATCACTTGTTAAGTATTATTTTTTGTATCCATGAACGCATTCTACTAGTAATCACTTGAAATGAAAACGGAGAAAAGTGAAGAGATGATTAACGATACTAATAAATACAACAATCAAATAAATATAGAATGTAACGTTCTAAACTTGACTCCTTATTAACAATAAATCTATAATATCATATTGGGACATCAAGCGACCATCAAATTTAAAACTTTTAAAATCATACACATTTGACAATTTCACATCAACATGATCAAATAAGTCATATTATATAAACATTTATACAAAATTAAAGTTCCGCGATAATTTGGTACAAATCAAAATAATAACAAAGTTCCAAACTCAAATACAAACAAAGTTCATATGAACACACATGTCCTCTAAAGTGATCGTATATAATATTATGGCATGAAGATGTTAGAACCCCTCTGATAACAATGCTCCTCAGCACGAACCCCAATATATTAACCTATAAACAACAACATTTGAATGTTAAACTTTACACACGTGATGATACACTTCTATTCCATTATTCTTAAGAGAAAAAGAACTTTCAAAACATTGTCGATTATTTTGTCCGATTATGGTGGCGATGTTAATTCATTAATTGGATTCTTTTAAGGAGCAAAACATCTTGTATTACTTAAAATCAAAGTAAATATTTAATATTTAACTTGTTTTTTATTTAAATACTTCTACTCAATCTGCTCGGATTCATAACTTGATTTTTAGTTCACTACCCTAATCAACTGTTGACACAAGAGATATTGAACGTGCAAGCACAAAGAGTCATTTTTCTTATTATAATTTTTTAATTTAACCAACAAAGTTGGTTGTGCTACACCCACTTTTCATTTTCTTTAAAACAGTTGGTGTCTATCTTTAGTTCCAAATACAAAATTTAATTATATAATTATGGGTATTTAATTCATGACTTAATACAAAAATAAGTATTCAAATTATGTTGTTTTTTCATTTATGTGTGTAGACACTCATTTTCGTCCGAATTTGGGCGTTTTATTTATTTATTTTTATTATAGTAATATAGTATAATTTTTTAAAATGCTTTTGAAAAATATATTTTTGAAATATGTATTATATAGTTTTTTAAAACGTTTTTGAAAACTTATATACAATATATAAGTTTTAAAACATTTTGGAAATTATGTAGTATATAGTTTTGAAATCATTTTGAAAATATAATATATATTTTTTAAAAACATTTTGGGAAAATTTATATAATATATAGTTTTAACAAAACATTTTGGAAAACTTATATAATATTTTTTAAATCATTTTTGAAAACTATATAATATATAGTTTTGAAAATGTTTTTATATATAATATATAATTTAAAAAAATATTTTTTTTGAAACATATATATTATATAATCTATATTATTATTAATATTTATTTTCTTTCATTTCATTTCATTTCATTTTATTAACTTAATTTAATTTATTATTATTATTTTTTTTGTCAGGGTACAAACGGGGTCCAAAAACGAAGATTGGGCCTGAACCAGCCCAGCAGCATGTTAGGTTTCATATCCAGTTTCAACCAAGGCGCCGCACGACCCGGGCAACCAAAAGCCACGCGAAACAGACGGGCAACAGTGCCAACGACGGCCGAGATCCCCGGGACTGACCCATCCCGGGGGTGACCGGTCACGAGCGCCCCTATTTCGGGACCACAACGGCCGATGGAGGCCTATAAATACCAACCAGAACACTATCAGGGGGAGAGTACCCACGGCAAGGAGTAAACACCATCGAGCCACACAATAGTACACCAAGTATCAACGGAAACTAACCACACAGCAAACCGAGAACCATCACAGACCAGAAACCAACATCGACCAACCGACACAAAAATCCCATCATCACCGAAACGCAGAGCATCATCGAGAAAGATAGAAACCAAACCAAAATCAAAACAGTACACAAATAAAAGCCATCAACGCAAGAAACCAAACATCAACAGTCATCACAGTAAGCCAACAACAAAACCAAACGGTGAACATCAACACAACATAACTACAAAAACAAGCAAAAGACGAAAACTTTCTAATCCGAAAGTAAAACAAACAAAGTTCCAAACTTTGTTTCGGGGCGAAGGCTCGGTGTGCACCTCGTCGAAGAAACCACCGAAAAAGTGAAAGGCCACCAAAGGTAACGTTTTCCGGGTGAGGGTTTGTGAGGTTTTTGTGTTTGGTTTTTTTTTTTTTTGTGTTTGAATCTGAGAGGAGAGAAAAGGAGGAGAAGACGGCTGAGGTTAGAGATGGGAGAGGGTTTCTGCCGAGATTACAATTAGAGAGGTATTTAAAGCCCCCAAAACGATGCCGTTTAGGGGACTTAGGGCATCTCTCGGTTCGGCGTATGGGTTAATCACCGAACGGGTCCCTCATTCTTTGTAACATTATTTTCTAGCCATGGATTAAACTTTTAATTTCTTCTATTTTGAGCTTCAATGTTTTAATTCTTTTATTTTAGTCTGACTCTTATATGCTTTGTTATTTTCATTAGAGTTTGACTTTGGATATTACATTTTCTAGTATTTCATTTTAGTCACTGTCTCGTTTAGGTTTAATTATTATTTTGTCCCCAACCCTTATTTTATTATTATTATTTTTTATAAACTTTTTATTTCATTCCCGTTTTTCCTTTTTAGTTTTTCTATTTTAACATTTTTTTTATTTTTCAATTTTTTTCTCTTCATGTTGTTTTTTATTTTATTTCATATTTATTAGTATTTTTTTTATTTTTTTATCTTATTTGCCTTAAATTAATTTTATTATTATTATTGCCTTTTTTTATTACTTTTGTTTATTTTGTTTTTTACTTATTTAATATTGTTTTCCTTTTTTATTCATTTTTCAATTTATCTTTTTATTTTGTTTATTTTTTTCTTCTCTCCTTTGATTTATTATTTTAGTTAATTTTATTATTATTTTTTTTATGTTTTTTTGTATCTAATGTTTTTGATTTTTTTTAGAGAAACTCCAACTGATCAAAGGGTAAGTAATTCGGATCGAATAATTTAAATTTTTAATTTAAATTCCAATTTTCGCAAATAAAGATAACCGTCGAATTAATTGGTACCGAAAGGACGGTTCAAGGGTGCTAATCCTTCCTTGATCGTAACCGACTCCCGAACCCGACAAGTTTCTGGTACAACGCAGATCAGGTAAGATGGTGTCCGGCCCACCTAAATTCATTTTAAAATGGTCGGTGGCGACTCTAACCCAATTATTCACGTCGAAGCCCAATACCGGGGCCCACTCGAAAGACGGTTCCGACAATGTGTCTAAACTATTTTTCGGTCAAATCAAGCGCTTAACGTTACAATTTTAAGTGTCTAATCGTAACAGCCGTTAAAAAACTCGTTAAGTGACATAAATCATTATATTTAAAAAATAGTTTTTTTTAAAAAAAAAAATTCCCCTCCTCCCTCTCCCTTTCACTGTCACTCACTATCCCAACAGTCCCCCTTTACCCAATATTAACATTTGGTAATGACGGTCGGAATGATTCCAAAGGCTAGTAGCGGTGGTTGTGTCGTCGGGTGTTGTGTCTTCGGTTGGATAGAGGTTTGGTCGACGACAAATGGCAGTGGCTAGCATGGGTATAGGAATTAAAATAAAGATTTTCAAAATTTTGGGGATTTTTTTAGATTTCCGAAAAGTTTGATTTTTTTTCCTAAAAAGAAAATATATTTTTAAAGTTTTTTTATTTAAATAAAATTTTTCTAATTTATCATAATGTGACACGTGTCCCTTAACAGAATTTTTTAATGTCGTTACGATCGAGATACTAAAATGGTAACGTTTGTAATATTAAGCACATGAATTGACCGAAAATAACTTAAATACCTAAATGAGAAAAACTGTATAGTTTTAGCATTTATTTTTATATTAACCCTTAATTTATTGATTTATTAGTTTGGGTTGTATATTATAGATTGAGAACAATTCTTCTAATCTAATTTATTTTGTTCACAACTAAATACTAAAAAACTAAGAAAAATTAAAATATATTAATTCCTAAATATTACTACTTAATGCATACCAAAGTGAAAAGACATGCAAATCACTACTAAGATGGTGTAATGCATGCGATCCACTAACATCCATATCTAATCCCCTCATTCATGTTTCTGATATTAAACCAGTTGGAATCAACTCTGGTTTCATCCTCAACAAGTTTCTTTTTCAAATTCCATGGCACTTTCGATTTCGAAACAGAAAATCATGGAACAAAAACTGAGCCTGCAAAAGGAAAACCAGATATCCGTTGATCCAATATCATTGAGAGAATCAATCTCCTCATCCATGGGAGAAACAAGTTTCAACATGATGTTACCTCCGGTAGAAGCTCCTCAACCCGATTCCGCCGTACCTCATCCGCTTATTCAGCCGCCCCCTTTGCCCCCCATGAAGCACAAGTTTTTAACTTCCCCCGTCTCAACCTCTTCTCCTCGGTTTCGCTCGATTCTGTCGAGGAAGAACTTAAAAATCGCAAGTCAAGACTCTCCTCGGCAGGTTGATCACGAGTCCGTTCATGATCTTTGGCACCATGATGGTGCCGGTTTAATCTCCGATCACGACGTTAAGGATGACGATGGTTTCCGAAAGAGCATCGACTTCAAATGCGGTGCCCTTTGCATGTTCCTTCCAGGCTTCGGTAAAGGGAAGGCAGTGAGGCCAAGAATGAGAGAAACCATTGGCATGGAGAATGATGTGATATCGACAAGAGTTTCCCTGGAAAAATTCGAATACGGATCTTGGGGTTCGTCAACTTTTATACCGGATAACGACGATGATAATGGAGAATCCGCCATGAATCTCTTCTTTGATCTGCCGTCGGAGTTGATTAAAAATCTCGGTGACGATACTGATTTACCAGTTTGTTCTGCTTTTGTGTTCGATAATAAAGATATGAAAGGAATTTTAAAAAAGGGTTCAACTCCAACGGCAACAACAGGCAGGAAATACTACGAACTGCATCGCCATCTCAGGTTTTCTACTGTCAGGAATTCTGATGAATCCTTGTTCAGTCGAGCTTGAATTATTTATAAACTCTTAGTACTAAATGCTTGATTTAAATAGCTTTTGAACTTTATACTGTGTTTGTCAGTTTTTTTTTTTATTCCAAGAAGAGTAATATCACTAGTTTTCACTTCAAACTTCTATGTACAATTTAAAAAGATTGTGTTAATGTTAAAGGCTAATATCTAATTCGATGATTATATCCATTAATACTATTTTACTTCTAAGACAATAGTTCATCTATAACACGATCATTTCCTATTGGTGTGTATTTAAAAGACAATCATTTCCTTGGAACACAAAGAGCACCATACCACTACTTGAAACCTGCAAATCTATGTTAAAGTATAAGATTTTGTCAATTGTAATTAGTTATATTTGTTAATAGTTGGTTATGGATCTGGGTTATATAAACCCAATAATTGTAATTAGGCTTCAACCCATGTATTGAAGCTTCCTTCAATTCAAAATACTCGTTTAATATTTTCTCTCTCAATATTCATCTTAACAAATCCCTAACAAACACTCAAGTGCTCATCACTTATATACACACTTCGGTCACCGGCTATTTTTCATACCCGGCCACCATGGTTGCTTTCTCACATGGTATCATTAGTCGATAATCTTGCGGCCGTCTCTTTTCCGCTTCATTGATTTCATCTGCTGTTGCATCAATAATTGCTTTCTTTGCGATTGATTCAGCGTCGATTTTCTTCCATTCGTTATGGATCTCGATCTAGTTGAAGTTTTATTCCATAATTTGATCGAAAGCTTGTTCTATTTTTCTGTCTCTTGTTCTATTCGTTATTGGCAACCGTCTACCATCGGTTGCTTCATCACCGGTATTTTTTTTCTCTCTTCTTGTGATTACATGTTGCGATTCAATGGATACTGGTGGTTCAGTTTATACTAGTGCTGAAAATTTAACAATGGTGGTGTGGTCCAAGGAAATGATCGTGTGTATTAGTGTGCTCTTTGTGGTTTGCAAAGATCATAGTATTAGTGTGTATTTAAATTTAAAATTTTAAAATAAAATTTAGTTTAACAAATATCTAAATTATCAGTACCTAAAATTCTATTAGTTGAACTCATTAAACAACTTGGGCGATTAAAGAAAGTATTATTCTCTCTATAGATCTCGGATTTAAGTAGTTATGTCTATCATTTATGTATATTGTTAATGATTAAAAAATTCTAAAAAAAATAATAGAAATGAATCTAAAAAACAAAAGAACTTCAAATGGAAAATATATGCTAAGTGGACAATCATGTATATTGAAATATAGGGTAAACTACACCATTATTAATTGAAATTTAAGATTTGTCTAGTTTTGTAACTAAATTATAAAAAGCTTTAATTTTATCACTAAATATTTTGAATTAATATTTCTATTGAACTGGTAAATCATCAACAACGTGATAGCACAAATTGACATGTTAACGAAGATGTGGAGCGATGCACTAACTAGTTATTTTAACCAAAAGATATTCCGGTGATCTTTGCAAAATCATGTTAGCAAAGCTATATATCTATTTGACTTTTTATGAGAACTAACGGCTGGAATCGTACAATTTGTTTTCAACTGAATCTTCTACCGCTGCTCATACAGGTCTGACGATACTCTAATTATGCAACGGAAATGCAAGTGCTATATATGCGTAAAAACATGAACCCTAAACAGCCTCCTTGATGCCTAAATAAAATATCATAATGTTACCTATAACAAAGGGTATTTTAAATGGAGGCTTCAACTTATCTATTGCCAATTTACTTCTTCCTTTTCTTTGGTGGCTGAAGAGCTTCCTCCTCTTCTTCCTCCTCCTCCTCCTCACTTTCCACTCCTTCAACATCCTCTTCACCTCCATCATCATCATCGTCGTCATCATCATTTTCATCTTCATCGTCGTCCTCATCCTCCGAGTCTTCACCATCTTCATCGTCCCCGTCGTCTTCTCCATTCTGTTCTGCCCCGCCTGTGCCACCTTCCGGTCCCTTCTTCGGGTTGTTTTTGTTGCTGTTACCATTGTTGCCGTATTCCCCACCTTCTGAGGACAGCTCCTCTTCACCATCTCCAAACTCATCACCCCCATTGTTGTTGTCGTCATTGTCATCTTCCCCATCGGCGTCATTCGGCTCAGGCTGGTTTTGAGACTGATCACCCTTGATTCCGGGCTTGTTAGCCAGCAGCAACGTAGAGGAGCTCTGGAACCAATCCAAAAGGCCGAATTAAAGCAGTTACAACTATGAATAGTTTTTTAACCTAGCTATAAAACAAAGTGCACATAAAATGAGATCCAATAAGTGGAATGATAAAAGATGTTTATGTTGTTTTGTAAGTTTAAATCTTAATATTTTTTTAAAATTTTTAATTCATTATTTAATAAAAAAGAAAAAGTACATAAAAGCATAGCTAAGGTTCTTAGTTACAAAAAAAAAACTGATTTAAAGATTAACGAAAACCTGTGCTTAAAAAATATTTAAATCTAATTACGAATTTTATAAATTTTAATGTAAAATATTATTTTATCAACCATACCATCTTCTGGGTCGATCCAAATCAAACTTAATAAGAAAAAAAAAATTCAGACATGTAAACAAGTCTCGAGTCATTACGGGCTATAAATGACTCAAATCAAACTATATATATATATATATATATATACATTTTATTTTTCAAAAAATATATATACATTTTATTTTTCAAAAAATATATATACATTTTATTTTTCAAAAAATATATATACATTATTTAAAAGGTGTTCATAGCAAGTGACATTTTTTATAAATCTATTACGTCTCAAAATTTGAAAAGAGTATTAACATATTCTAAAATTATTTTATATTAATATTTATATATTTTATAACTAAATTTAAAATTCAAACTATAAATCACTATTTTAACCATAGTGCAGATACACCGATCTACCAAACTATATTAGTATTTCTTGTTCAACAACTAAATTAATAATTCGCTGTTTAAGAAAAACTTAAACTGATTTTCTTAGCTTAAAAGCAGTTAAGATGTTTCGTAAAATATATATAATTATATATTTTTATAATAATAATAATTTAATAAGTATTATCATTAACCAGATTTTGACATAAAAGTAGGGTTACTTAATCAGTTGTGAATTAAAAAAAAATCAAACAAAAAGCGTGACGTGGTACCTAGATTTGACAAGGATATTAATTATCCGATGAATATTCGATTCCATAGGACCATAACAAAGAAATTTGACTATTCGTATTTTAGAAACCAAGACAGAGACTTTAGACACAGATTTTTTGCCAATAAAATTATCTCATTTCAATTTTGGTTGATAAATTTTATTTAATTATATATAAAATTTCAAATGAAACAAAACTTGAATATATATTATAATTTTTAATTAAAAAGTATATTTTATAGGAAAGTCAACTGAAATAATTTCATTGCATGCGAAAAAAACTCAAACCCCGAACAACTACTGTTTAATATTTTCTCTATCTGCCCCATCTGCAAGCGCAAGTTATCAATACTGAAACGGCGCATGTTGGACACCTCTACAAACCAAAAAAAGAAAACAAAATTCCTTTAAGCTGTCGATTTATTTTGGATATTTTAATCTTAAATAAAAATATAATTTATACGATATATTTAATTCTTTTTATTTTGAATATTAAGCCTGTGATTTTATAAAAGATAATAAGTCATTTTTTATTTTTCGTTAAAAATATTGTGAAGACGGATTATCTCGTATTAAAATGAAATATCGGCCCCAACGAACAGCGGCGCATCTTAGCAGGAATCTGATGCAAAACAAAAGCAAATTCTTCTGGGTGGCGATGGAGGAATCAAATACTTTTAGCAAAGAAAAGGTTCAAAGAATATATTTTAGAAAATATATATATTGTATTTTCTCAAAATTACATTTTGATTTTTAATATAAAAATTATGTATTTAGTAAATAGAAGAAAAAAAGGGTTCCTAAAGTTGGAAATCCTACAATGGCTCATAAGCAAAAAAACTGAGCAACCCGTAGCAAAAAAATAGCATAAATTTAAAGGCCATGGTCACGCGAAGACTGTAAATAAAAAAATAAAAGAAAAGCTAAGTTACCAGAGCTAAAAGGTGGGTTTTGGCGAGAGCCGAAACCAACGTGGTGGCTAGAGTTTCACCGGCGCACGTTAGTGTGACGTGACTAACCGAAACCGCCATTGAACTGAGGTCAGCTTCTCTGTTTCACTACAGCCAACGATAAATCTAAAAGCAACCTGCACAGAAAAAGAATTTCCACCGTTAGATCTACGCTGAAGCTGTATCAGCCGTTAGATCTGTACTTTATCCCTACGGAATATAGTACGGACTAGCAAAAGCAAAACGAAATTTCAAAATATTATGAATTTAAAAAAATATATATTTCTCCCACAGTGCAAAAATATCAAAATAAAAATTAGCGGGAATTATACTAAAAACGAAGTTCTCTTTAGACGAAAAGCACAACAAATTCGAACCAAAAAACGAAAAAAAAACACAACAAAGAACCTTCAATTACGAGCGAAACTCGTCGGCGGAAAGTTGATTTTCGTAAAAATAAGCTTTTTGTTTTGATAAAAGAAAAGCAGCATAACTAAAATTAATTAAAGATTAAAGAGATTCGAAAACGTTCTAAATTCGAAAGGAGAAGACACGAGGAAAGAAACGTACCGAGAAACGGAGATCAGAGGGCGGAGAGCGTAGATCTGCGGATTTACAGAGCTAAAAGCAAATGAAACGAGCGAAAAGGATAAGCGTTGGTAGGAAGCGACGGTAGATCTGATGATTTTGCAGCACTAAAAGCAAAGAAAACAAGAGAAAGGATAAGCGTTCATTTTGGACCGTCGGATCGTGAATCAAGGAGACATGGAGAGGGAAGAAAAGATATAGCAGAGAAAAATGGAAGAAGGGAAAGAGAGAGAACTGTGGATGGCGAGTTACTGCCCGTTATTTTTCCAGTTCGGTGTTGGGCAATACGGGCAGCCTACTCACCAATTCATCGTGTAAAGAGACAGTTGAGTTTGGGCTGCCCGGAAATGGAACTAAGTTTAAGGATTAATTAATTTAATTGTTTAGTTTTATGATTTATTTTAAAAGTAGATAATTAAAACTTAAAAGTATATTGTTTTTATTTAAGAAATTGAATTATTTTTTATTTAATTAAATAATTAAAATAAACATTTTTTGTATTTAAGTATTTAAGTATTTTTTTTCAAAATATATACTTAAAATATATGATTATTTTATTTATGTATTTAAAAATTAATACGTGATATTGATTAAAACATATTTTAAGTATTTAGATAAAACAATATAAAATATTTAAGATATTTATTTTGAATAAAAAATTTATATATTTAAATGAAAAAATATTACTTTGAGTATTTACTTTAATAAAAGATACTTTATTTATTTAAATAAAAGAGGTAATATAGTTTTAATATTTATTTTTGAATATCTTAATTTTTCAAAATGATTAAGAGACTATTTAGTATTTGTAATACGTGGGCTATAAAGAAAATTGGTTTTGAAAAACATACTTAGTCTAATTAAAATAGTCCTTAAACTTTTGAACATTCTAATTTCATCCATACACTATGAACCTCTTTCTAAATTGGTCCACAAACTTTTGAATATTCCAATTCCATCCCCAAATTCATGCAAATGGTAATTACTTTCAATCATAATTTAACCTAATTTTTTTTCAAACATATAATAATATAATTTGGCCTAAAGATTTTATTAACAAGGGATGTGATTAGTATATACGTATAGTTTGAGATGAAATTGGAACATTCAAAAAGTTTAGGGATCGATTTAGAATGAATGTCATAGTTAGGGGATAAAATTGAAATTTGCAAAAGTTTGAGGGCTAATTTAAAATGATAGTCATAGTTTTTAAGGATGAAATTGGAATATTTAAAAAATTAGGGATCAATCTAATATGAGAGTTTGAATACATGATCTAATTAACTCTTAAATAAAATAATAACCTTAATTAATTAATTCTCTCCTTAAATACATTCCGAAATGTGATGTCTTGTACTCAATTTATTTCATATTAAAATCAAATAGATGATTCAACCTTGAAATGAATATGTTGAATTAATTAACACATAGGTGTAAATATATAAATGGTAAAATATAGAATTGATAATTTTCGTTTAAGTTTTGTACACTTTTCTTTATTAAATTCAATAAACATAATATTTAGTTACTTTCATTTTTATTTAATTAAGATGTAGTCACTGGGAGTTAATTGATGTTAAAATTTTAACGGTTAAAATTAAAAAAGGTAAATTACATAAACAGTCACTAGTATTCAAGTAAATTTTCATTTTTTTTTCAATTAAGTTTCAAAAGTAACAAATTAAAAAATGGTCGTAAATCACTAATATAGCAACAGTTAGGTATTAATCAACTAATGAACACTTAATAATTTTGAAATCACTGGAGCTTAAACTTTTAAAAACTTATGCTGCTTTTAATTTCATTTAATATGTGAACCGCAGGTCACCATGAAAGAGGGATCGGTTTTGCTTGCAGCTTGCTTACATTTCCAGATCAAATATATGTTCTTGACAGCAAGTGGGTTGTATCGGACCTTGGTCATGACTATGGACTTGATATCCAAGGTAGAAAGAAAGCTGCAGTGTTGCGCTATAATGGAAATATGAAACCTTGGCTTGAACTGGGAAATCTGAAATACAAGGTGTACTGGAAGAAGTTTCTGAACCATGATGATCAATATCTAAATGAGTGCAATGTAAATCGATAACGGGCTGATGTTGAGGTTTGAGTCATTGGATCCTTGGCAAAAATTGGGAGGTTAATGCCCTAAGTGCTGAAGATTTTGACATTGAGCTAGAATTTTGAAAGATATGTGATGACAACAAAGAGTAGCTGTGATCACCTAGAGCTTGAGGGCATATGTTTCTGATGTTAGTTTTTTTTTATTACTTTGTTTTTGATAAAATAAAAGGATTTTGCTTAACCTTGAGGTGAATGAATGAATGCAGGTTGTAGATGCGGATAGTGGTTGGAAGAAAGAGCTTCATTTAATGAAGTAATTAATGTGAGGAACCATGACAGATGATGAGTTACGTACGGAGAGGAGGGAAGGATTTGAATATGATTTTCAAGGACATCACGTGCCCTTCAGATTTGCATTTTCTTTTTGTTTGGGTCATTACTAGTGCATTAGTCCATTAATTAGTTTGTCTTCTTCCAACGATCAGATGAATTTAAGTAATATTGTTTGCAGTGGTTCTGTGTTTCTCATATATTCTCTACATTGTTTTTGTTATTATTTTAGTGAATAAAACAAAATTTTACTAAAATATTAGTGATTTTTTATGTAATTTGTTTTTTTATTTTATAGATTTATTATATCACGTTAATAATATGTTAAAAGTCTAAGAGTATTTGACCTTTAATAATTATATTTTAATTAAATAAAAACAAAAATTACTAAATATTATATTTTATAAATTCAATTAGAAAAAATATATAAACTTTAAACAGAAATGATCAATCTTATAATATATCTGTATATAAAATAAAAAAGAGGCGAAGTGAAGAAACGTTTGATGTCTTATACTACCGTTTATGCAGTGTTACTAATCAGTGCATATGGAATCATTATTTAGCATAGAATGTCATTATTGCCATGAGAAATGGACTGTAATTGTCCCCCAAAACGGGAAACTGAATTTGTTACTCTTCGTTATAAAAAAAAAGAATTTGTTACTTTTCCATATTTAATGAAATTTAATAAATTTTAAAAATAATTACATTCATATTTCGAGTTAATCTGAATTTAAACAATTAATTTTTTAAAAATAATATTTTATTTAAACTATAGTCATGAGAGAATATTATTTTTTAATAGTGTGAAATAATTATAATGTGATATATGTTACAAAATTTAATCTAATAATAATATATACACATCGTACAATTTTACTCGAATGCAATACCTCTAAAAAATTATATTATCTTTTATTACTATTACAACTCAATAGATTCTATAAAAATATACCAAAGAAATTGAAATTGGGTGCTTGATATTTTCTAAAATATTATTATATTAAAGAAAGATATGGATAAATGCTAAAGTGAGTTCAAATTCCAAAGAAACTTCTGTATTCTATTGTATAAAATGATGTGGGTTTATGCTTTAAGCCAACTCGGTATAAATTCTGATCCTATTACCCAACTTAAAATAATTAATTCATCCTAAATTACCCCATCCCTCAAGACTTGTTTATCCGAACCAAACGAAATTAAGAAATTATTGTTATTTCTTAATGTTTTAAATTCAAACACTTCATATATAATGGTATGAGTGTTCAATGTCATATAATTGAGAATTTTTGAATAGATATTGCCTTGTATTTACTTTAGACTAATAAAAAAAGTTTTTTTAAAATATTAAAATTAAATTATAAATTTATGTGAGAGTTAAAATATAATTTTATTATTAAACAAATTATAACTTTACAAATTTTATAAGGAATAAACGAAAATTTTATTATTTTAAGAGGTAAAAGATGTAATTTTATCATATATATTTATTTATATTTTAGAGAAATTAATAGATAATTATAGAGAAACAAAGACATATATCATAGTCGGCCAGATCTATAAGATTAAAAAAATAGGAGATAAAGTCTTTCAAAAAAAAAAGGAGATAAAGGAGTACTAATGAATATATTTTAAGCTAAGAGAGAGTTGAGATGAGATTTGTCTCTAAGAAGATGTGAAGGGGTGGACAATCAACTAATGTTTAATTTGGTTCACCAAACTCCTAATTAAATCAAATGAAACTAATACTCATAATTTATTTTTATATATCATATATTCTTTAACTAATTAATACCCTTTAGTTGTACAAGCAATTTATCTCATTTCCTTTGTTTTTTTTATTGTAATAGTCATCAATGTTGTGGTCAAATTAAAAAGTATTTTTTTATAAATAAAAAAATATATGAAATAGTTATGTTATGTCAATATATATCACTGACGTGAGGGACACGCAAGAAAGGTGCGCGTAGGTTAAAAGGAGGAAAGGTGCGGTAGTGGAAATATGACAAATTTATTTTTGTGGAAAAAAAGGCAATTAATAATTATTTTTTTATTGACAAAAAATATTATTCTAAAAAATGGTTAATGGATAACCTACTGTATAAATTCACTGTAGATTAAGATAAGGAAACATTTATATAATAATAATTCAAATTTCATTTTATAAATTTTGATTTGATTTTGAATTATTGATTACTGCTGAAAGGTTTGGATGCAGAATAGGGCAATCCAATGAAATTCTGCAAACGATTCAATATTAAAATTTTAAGTCAAACTGGAACTTGGGTTGATCGCATTACGGTAATAATAAAATAAAATTAAAAAAAAATAAATGAGAAAGATGCGATTAGTTTGAAGGGAGATTGGAGTATTGGAGTTTGGCCATTATGCGACTGTGAGGTATGGCGAAGAAGAAGAAGCTAGCTAGTGATCCTTTGTTTTCAACAGGGAATTTCTTTTTTGCTGTTTTTGGAGCTCAACTTTTAGCGGGAAACTTGTTATAACCACACTTCAAACTGTAATAATAAAATAAAATTAAAAAAAAATAAATGAGAAAGATGCGATTAGTTTGAAGGGGAGATTGGAGTATTGGAGTTTGGCCATTATGCGACTGTGAGGTATGGCGAAGAAGAAGAAGCTAGCTAGTGATCCTTTGTTTTCAACAGGGAATTCCTTTTTTGCTGTTTTTGGAGCTCAACTTTTAGCGGGAAACTTGTTATAACCACACTTCAAACTAAAGGTTTGTTTCTTTTTACTGGTTTGGTAGGCGTTCGGTTGCCGCGAAAACTGGAGGAAAACCATTAAAAAACATTAATACTCAAATTCTTATTTGAATTAAAACAACGATTCTTCCTTTCCATACATGTGTTTGTACTATTTTTTGAATAAAATTGGTCTTTTGAATTGATTTTCATCTGTTACTGTTGGCTGCTACTTTGATTTCTTCTGGATTGTTTGGAATTCTAAGGTGAAAACAGACTGATCAAACGTTGATTATGATTATAATCTAATTTATTTCGGACTTTGATGTTCTTTTACCTGTTTCTATTTAATGTCTCGATTCGATGTTTTCAAATCCTTCTCATCCAGATTCATTTGCGTAGTTTTTTCTGGGTTTGTTTTTTAGTTCATCTGTAGCTGATGCAGTCTTTTCTTTTTCCCCAGAAGTTTTGTTAAATGATTTGTGCATATTAGGAAAGTTCCTATGGAAGAATATCTCGCGATAATAGTGCGAATAGGCTATGCTGCTCCGATTCTTTCTTTTACTATTTGTATCCAATATCTTTGTTTGACTTAGTGTTCCAGCTCTCCCAATTCATGGAAAACTTAGGATACTTGTATCCAAGTCCTAGCAGCATAGCAAATAGGTCCATGAAAATTTCTAATTCTCCTATAGTTTAGGTATTTTCTTTGTATTTTCTAAAATTTTATAAGTTTATACTTCTAGCATAAAATCCTACGTCAGTCCTTATCTGTCGTGAAAATGAGGGACAAGTTTAACAGTGTGCTCCAACAATGGGAAGAGTGGGCTGGCTAGTCGATAATTATATGAAAATAGGGATATCATGATTGGGTTTTCAATCTTTTCTTTTCACTTGGATACAATTAAACCATGTTTTCTTATAAACCACTAAATTTAAGTTGATTTTGATTCATTTATTGTTCTTCTATGGAACAATAAACAATACGAACTTGGCAAGTTTGATAGAATATCAGTGTTGGTTTATTCACTGTTCATTCATTGGCGATTCAGTTGTCACCATAGATTTATCGTCCTTATTTGCTAAGCTCGAATGGAAGTGTCTAACTGCAGTTTCAAAGTATTAAGTAACTGGAAAGGTTATTATCAAGTTACTTTTTCCGCAGCTACTAGTGGCAAAAATGAAATAGATTAAGGTAATGTCAACTTTACTTTTGAATTATGTTTCTCAGAGTCCCACACTTTTTCATTTTATCTAAACTACTTGAGTCCAGTCCATGTTGGATGCATGCCCGTATTCGGCATTATCTCCAAAACCCAGGTATTATAGCTTTTGAATAGCAAAAGCAAGTCAAAGAGGGAAAACAGAGAGGAACAAGCAAACATATATATTTTGCAGACAGTAAATAGTAACAAGGTTGACGATTGTTGGAGCTTTTGAATGATTCTTTTGAAGTTGAAACTGTAAGATCGAATTTAGATTGAAACAGTTGTTTTGATTTCATTTTTTGGTGATTAGCAGATCAAATTTCTTTCAAATTCCATGCCTGTTAGCAGAAGGAGTTCACTCTTATTGATTTCTTTAATTCTTTTAGTGAACTTTCATGGAGGATTTTAGAGGTCACTGAGGCTGATTCAATTGCCTAACAAATCAGGATATGAAAATTTTCCATAGGTTCCTTTTGTTTATTCATTTTTGTGGAAGGCTTATCTATTAAATTTTACAACCATGTTCTCTGTTGTTTACCACATGTTTGCTATAACACTTGTCCTTTTTACTCGTGGAGTCAAGCTCATACATGCCCATGTATTGTTCCTTTCAGACTCCATTTTCAATTCAACTTGTGCAAAAGCTGCCTCCGGTTTCGATTCAAGAAGCATGGAATCACAGTAACTTTGTTATTTTGAATTTTTCCAGTCTGAAACTGCTTCACATGAGATGCTTGCACCTTCTAACAAGTATGATCAAGAAGCAACTAAACCTATTGAGAAGGTAAGTTTGAGTAGTACATGATGCTGTTTTTTTTTCCATTTATTTTCTCATTTTAATGGATAAAATGTTGTCCTGGATCACATGCTGTATGGTATTAAATATATTGTATCTATTGGTTTGCTGAAACTATGTTGCTCTGACTCTTTATTTTTCTTTTAAGTACTGTATCCGACGCATATCTGAACATAGCTATGGGATAGATTGAACGTATATATCCATCTTGGATATATACCTATTTCTGACAGTTACACCCGAGTTCAAGTGACATAGTTGAGAGATTCTGTCTTGGAATTTGAACAGATGGTACTACTTTCAGTTGTAGACTTCTAAGTTCCATTCCTTTTACCTTGATCCTTTGAAGTTCAAAATTTATGGCAAAGTCATAGTTCGAAAATAAGGAAAAAGAATTCTAGATATTTTAAATGTTCTTAATGTCAACTACATGAAATAACCGGATCAAAGCCAAGATTAGGGATCGTCTTCTAGATGACTAAATTCCTACAGATATAGCACCAGATACTCTAATTCCACTTCTGCAAATTGCAGAATGATCAACATCTTTTGGAGCCATTAGTCTCATCTTTCCTGCTAAAAATCATGAAAATTAATGAAGATTTGATTTGGGAACAGTGAGAATTAATTGGTTCAATGAAAGGAAGAGAAAACATGCATGCACACCATTATTATTTCCATATAATCTCTTTCTGAGATAGTTCTGATTTGAACATTTTCATTTCTTTTCCAGAGCAGTATGATTTAGCTGCTGTCTAACTTTTTTATGTTTGCAGATCATCTGTTTACCTTATATAACGGGTCTAATCTCTTTGTGCATTTTACTGTAAATATCTATAGATACAAAGACGGCTTGCGCAAAACCGTGAGGCTGCTCGTAAAAGCCGATTGCGGAAAAAGGTAGAATATGATATGGTCATGAATAGCAACAGATAGAGTTCAAGACCACATGTGAATCGTTGTAATTAACTTCATATAACATTGCATTTCAGGCTTATGTTCAACAGTTAGAAAATAGTCGTTTCAAGCTGATTCAGTTGGAGCAAGAGCTTGCACAATTGAAGCAACAGGTTTTGAATGAGATTAATACCAATTCCTTTTTTTCAGTTTGAAAAAAGTTTAAATCCATTTTAAATAATTTTTTTTTTGATAAAACATTTTAAACAATATTGCAGGGTGTTTATATGGGTGGTGGGTTGGTAGATGGTAATCTTGGATTTTCTGCACCAGCAAACTCAGGTTTGTTTGTAAATACACTGGCAGTTATTTTTATTACTTGTGAATCATAACATATGTCATTTTAAAGCAGCTGATATTATGATCTCTATGATTCTGCCATTGACAACGTACACACACCGCAAACTCATTGTTTGAACCCGGGACCTCTATGGAGAACAACACCCCCTTTTACCACTGAGGCCATTTAATGAGTTTGAATCTTTAGTGTTTGATGTTTTGGATAACTTCATTTTGGGGATTTTGCAGGGATTGCTGCATTTGAGACAGAATACGGACAATGGATGGAGGAACAAAGTAAACAAATATGTGCTCTGAGGACTGCTTTGAATGCCCAAATAAGTGATGCAGATCTTGGAATGCTTGTGGAAACCGGCATGAATCATTATTCCAAACTTTTTCGCATGAAATCAACTGCTGCAAAGGCAGATGTTTTCTATGTCATGTCTGGCATGTGGAAAACATCAGCTGAGCAATTTTTCTCTTGGATTGGTGGGTTTCGCCCGTCAGAGCTTCTTCAGGTGATTCATATCCGACCTTACTTTTCCTTTTTAAGCATCTGTATTTGGCACCCATGCATGAAACCTATTCGAAAATTAGCATGGGATAATATAACTCTCCAAAGATCTACTAAACACATTAAAAACTTGAGAAAAAAATGAAAATGCTATCATCTAACATATATTTGTATCTGAAACACTTGAGTTCAAGAAACATATTAGTTTCCTTGCACAAACACTGAAAGTGGCCAATTGTAACCCTAAAATGTGCTCTGTTTGGTCTTTTCGTCTTGATCTGACTTATAATTTTTTTTCTTGAGTGCCCGGACATGACATCCATGTCTGTAATCTATCCCGTATGGGTGTTGTAATAATAACTCTCTAAAATCCTCTGAATACATGAAAAAATTTGAGAAAAAATGAATACACTAGTGTCATAAACATACTTTCTGATTATTTACTTTAATTTTATTTCTAATTTTTATTTTTTATAGAACTAATAATTATATTTGATGTTATTATTTATATTTTTTGAAATAAATAAATAATAAAGATAAATTTATATATAAAATTTGAAGTTGTTAAACCCTAACATATTCATAAGCAAATTGCTGGAACATGGGATGAGGCATATCTATATCCGATATACATGTAAATCTAACACTCGTGCTTGAGTATTTGTATCATAGATTTCTTGTAACTTTCATTGGAATTCTGGTCCAAGTTGTTACATGTGGAGTAACATTTGGTTGTTATGCTGATTTATAGGTGCTGTTGCCTCAGCTTGATTCCTTGACGGAACAACAATTCTTTGATGTTTGTAACTTGAAACAATCATGTCAGCAAGCCGAAGATGCACTTTCACAAGGCATGGAGAAACTACAAGAACTCGTGTCGGTGACCGTGGTGGATCGTCAACTGGGGGAAGGTAGTTATAGTTCTCAGGTGAATACCGCAATGGAGAAGGTAGAAGCTCTAGTCAGCTTTGTGGACCAGGTAAACAATTGCCTCATCCCATGTTCCAGACTTCGTAATTTCTGTGAAGGTAAGCCACTGAAGTCGTAGTGTCCGTCCGTGTTCAGTCACATATCCGTTATCTGGTATTATGTTTTGCAGGCAGACCACATTCGGCAGGAAACACTGCAGCAGATGTCTCGAATCCTAACGACTCCCCAGACAGCTCGAGGCTTACTTGCTTTGGGCGAATACTTTGAACGTCTTCGAGCTTTGAGTACACTATCGTCTTCTTGTCCTCGTGAACCTGCATGTCCTTAAACAGTTGAAGATCCTCCATACACGATCACTGCAACACCTGTGTTCATACAAAGGTAAATGTCATCGTGAACATAATTGCCTACATTTTTTTTTTAACTTTTTGAAGCAGAACAGAGAGATCTGAGATGGTGTACATATGAGTAGTTAATTTTACATTGGGGAAGGTGTTTATTTAATCAATTTTCACTAATGTGTTGTGCAATATATCTACTTTTGAAATATATAAATATAGGATCTACATTTGAAATTACACATAATCCAAGTTAAAATGAATTCAATGCCCATCATCAAAGAACTAGTTTATAGTTGCAAAGGCAATTTATAATCGTCGCATACCTAAAATTATTAAAATAAAGTCCGAGAAAAAACCATCAGTTAATTAATTTATCTATGTTTATTTTTTTTTTTGTTAATATGTATGATATAATCAATTTACTATTATTTATGGTAATATGAAAATTATGAGTTTAGCATTACGAATTAATTGAGTAACTCAATTAGAAGTTATTAAACTATCTTTATTTTAAATATTATTATAATAATATAAAATTATTAAAATTTACACTTTTATTTATCAAACTCGTATTTAATAGAATTTATGTATGAACTCTTTGTAACTCCACCGAGTATCATTATTGATAAATTTTACAAAATATATATGTTTATATAATTTTTTTTCTTTCTCATACCATGAATTATTTATTTTTGAAAATTAAATTTAAGATATTTTATTAATAACAAAATAACTAAGATAGAGGAGCACACCAAGAAGTTAAAAGATGATTGTCGCTAATGCTCAACCACTTGGACCTGGGTAGGGGCATTGACCTCCAAAGTAGAAAGCTTGTAACACCTCAACCCGTACTCGACCCGGATACGAATCCGAAATGTCATATTAACTTTTAAAAACGATATTCTTACAAAATAACAAAACATTTAAACTCATATTAAAAAAATACAATGATATACTATTAAATTATGCTTCATTGTAAAAATTTAAAGCAAAAATGTATTTATAAATAATACTATACGGTATAAACAATACCATGAACAATAATAAACAGTGCTACAATGCATCTATGCATTGCATTGCTAACATAAAACTCTTAAAAATTTAACCGTTCATTACATTGCATTTATATTTATATAAATACGTTTAAAATATTACAAAACTCGATCAGAGCATAAACACATAATTTACCGACTTTGTTTACATGCCAACCTATTTATCACATAATAATACATACTGTGTAATTTACTTCTGATATGATCTTCAAGTGGATATATGTTATTCTATTGTTTAGCTTTGATCCCTTCGCTTTTCAGTACCTACGTGTAAATCACTTACATGCTAAATCATAGACTTAGTTAGGCATATCATATAATAATAATAATGCATTTCGTATACATACAAATGTATCATCTACTTATTTAATCATGTCATATATGATTCCATGTAAATAATAATAATAACATGATAACATATAATAATGCAAACACTTTTTATACCTTTTGTAAGCCCATGTACTTTACTGAGAACTTAAGGTATTTGAGTACATTGAGATTGTGCACCACTATGCTGTCACCACAACTCGTATAAATGTATCGAAAGACCTATCCAGATGTCATAAAAAACATCGGCAACTGTCTATAGGTCCCGAAGAATCTAGGTAAACTGTCCATATGTTCCTTAGAACATAGGTAATCCTGTCAATATGTCCCGAAAGGCATAGGTAAACCCTCAACTCTTGACATGCCAATTATACCTATAGCTCTCTTATCATATATCATGGGCATTATTCTTGTGTTTCATATGTTCATGTATTCATGTCATTTCTCTTGTGATCACATACACCTTTTCTTCTGTCACATACCACATGTATGTATAAACATCTATGTTATTTCATATAACATATAATACGTATTACATATTCATGTAAGCATGTAGTTCATGTAACATTTTCACATAGTCACATATTTTATCTCATTTCACATTGATCATGTCTCATAGCATATATCACATATGCATATAATCATATATACCATATCATATATCTTATGTTTTATGCTCTTATGTTTATGCAGATCATGTAACATATATATAATAACCTATACCCATTTCATGTATTCATGCACATATAAAAATCACAAATCAAATAACATTTTAGGAGTCACTTCTTACTATAGTAACTCCATCACTGGCTCATCGCAAGCCAAAGTTCGTTCAATACCATAAGTACAATTAAAATTTACACTCACCTTATCCTTGCTTGCTTTGAATAAATCTTAATCAGAATAATTCGTTTAGGCTCTGTATATACATAAATATAATTTTCAAGATGATTATCAGGAGCCTAAACCTTATACTTCGATGTTATTAACTTAAACGAATTTAATAAACTCATATTCCTAATTTCCTTTAGGAGTGTACCGATGCACTATGGGTGCATCGGTACCCAAATTAGGTTTGAAATTACCATGCATCGATGCACCCCTTAATGCATCTTCAAATTTTGTCTTAGTGCATCGATGCACCTGCCCAGAATTAGCTATTTCATTCGAAAATCATCAACACTTCATCCAAATTTTCATGTATAAAACCCTTATTATGCTATAAATTCATCTATAACAACTTTAACCAATTCCTATCATTTCAACACTTTATAATCTCCCATATTCCATCCAAATTCTTAAGGTTAAAAATTATCCTAAATTTTCTATGTTATCCAAACTTAATTCTAACACTTCTAACTCTTTATTCTCATAGATGAAAAGTCAAATTCATCCTCCAAATTCATTTAAACCTTCTTATCCAAAATTTCACTTAAAACCTCACTTTCTTTAATCTGTCATAACTCCTTTATCTTTTGATTTTAAGATAACTTAAATTTTCCTTAAACTTAATTATCATCTAATGATCAAAACCTATTCTTAAAATCAACAAACAATCAAGAAATCAGAAAACTCACATTTGCTTTGAGTGTCTCACGTTGGAGAAGAAGAATGAAAAATGAAGAGTGAAGAGATTTCTGGAGAAATCTCTCAACTTTATCCCCATATATATCATTATTTTATTCATTTTTAAGTCAAATGATCATTTTGCCCTTTAATTCCTTTAATAATTACTAACAACTTTTATGATTTATTTTCAAATAAATCATTGAACTATTCAACTATTCTACTTTAATCACCATATTCTGAAATTTTACAATTTGATCACTAACCCATATTTTAGAATGTTACAAAGCACACCATTTAAAAATTATAAAATTACAATTTATACATATAAGCCTCCAAAATAGAATTTTTTTTCTTTTAATCACTTAAAAATTATGAAATTATAAGTAAATACAAATGTAGCAATTTAGACATAAATAGTCGCATTTGCTCTATCTCCCCTTTTTCGCAAATATTTTTATCTAAAACATCAGATTTACTACATACAGTTCGCATATTCACATCATAATTACATTTTTTCACGTTATAATATTATTGAAGTTATTTTATATTTAGAAAAACTTTTAATAAGTTAAAACACATTGTATTCGTATTTTTAAAAAAATCATATATTTTGAAAAATCAAACACCCGTATCCATAATCCAAATATGAGTGTCAGATACAATATACTTAAAGAAAAATGAAGAATCGAAATAACAAAGTTGATAATTACCTGCTTTATAATTCAAAATAGAATGCCCGAACTCTTGGTTACTACAACTGAGGTATGGATGAAGCCTCCAATATGAGCAATGCTGTACATTTATCGCCTTAATGCCTTGCATTCGAACACGGACTGAATTAGGATTAAACCAGAAGGGAGAATTGGTTTGTTACCCTAAAATAAGAAACAAACTAATCCGGTTAATTTCCATAAAAAATGTCCCCAAAAAAAATTTTCGCAACGAACCACACAACACTGATTGAAAGAAACACGATTTTACAGGCATACAAGATTCCCAATGGATCTTATATCGAAAGGATGCTAAATGTCTTGTTAACTTCTGATGCAATGAGATGCAGATCCAACGCATGATATATACTTAAATCTGCTATCTTTATTGACAAGTTGCAGAATGGAATTGAACATTCTAAACGGAAAATCAAGCACAGATTGACAATACAAGCATGGAAAATACGGGAAAAATCGGAGACATATACCGCATTTTGTGGGGGGGGGAACAGTCTATCGGTGCTGCAATATAATCAAAACCGAAAACCATCTGTTGCTCTCATCAGGCTTAGTTGGAAGGAGACCCGGAGAATAAACAAACCAATCAATTAATTAATTTAACCGCAGTTTTTGCATTAGACTCAGGCCTGCCACGCCTTGTGGCTTGAACAGAACCTGGATTAGCTGGTAAAGATCCAAAAGTTTCAAGAGCCTCTAGGAAGAACCTCTTATTAGGGACTATTCCATCTCTTTCCATATCTTTCACCAACTTCTGCACAAGGTCTTTCATGTTGGACTTCGTGTAGGCCTTATATAAAAGTTTGTATGTCGATGAGTCGGGAACCACCCCAATGTTATTTGCATTATCAAATAGCCTATTGGCTTCCATAGGTAGCCCATTTATGCAGTAAACTTCAAGCATGGCATTGAGGGTTGAAACTTTTATTTCCTTTCCGGAGTTGACAATCCCATCAAATATTTCCCTCGCCCGAGAAACACAGTCGCAGAAACCATACATCATTATAAGACTCTCGTACGTGATGAAGCTTGGTGTGTATTTCATATCAGTCATCTTTTTGAAAACACTTTCTGCTCTCTCTTTAAGCCGAGCCTTGCCATAGTTTATGATCATTGAATTAAATGTAGGGAGGGTAGGGCTTTCCTTAGACCGCAACAAGCTCTTAAACACTTGTTCCATCTTATCAAATTCTTGCTTCTTGCCATAAGAATCGATAAGCACATTAAACGTAATAATATCCGGCTTACACTGACTACTTTTCATCCGAGAAAGAGCAGACTCCATCTCTCTGATCATCCCGTTCTTCCCATATGCATCCATCACGCCATTAAACGTATATATATCAGGTGCAATACTGCTCTCAGCAAGATCCTTAAACAAAGTATTAACTTGATCCACATTCCGAGCTTGAGCAAAGGCTCTCAAAAGAATGTTGTAAGTGACAACATTGGGTTTACACCGTTCCATTCCCTTCATCTTGTTGAAGTACCCCAGAGCTTTGTCCAAAGCTTTCGACTTATCACGGGAATGGAGGTGGGCCGTGATAAGGGCGTTATAAACCGAAGCATCAGGCCGACAACCACTGTTACGCATCTCGGAGAAGAGCCACATCGCCATTCTAGTCTGGCCTTTCTTTCCCATAACCGTAATCAATTTCGAATAAACCCCGTTATCGGCAATGTACCACCGTTGTTTCTGCATCCATCTGAAAACCTGAAAGGTAGAGTATATATAAGTAACAAAAACAAATTTATTTCATCCATCAGCAACGGTCCTGTATCTAATTTGAACTTGCCATAATTCAGGCGAATATCAAACACTTTCGTCATTAAGTTCCACTAAACATATGAATACGAAAGACTCGAATTTTAGTTTTAAGTTTTTCGAAAATCAATGTTTTGAACAAAACCCATATCAAGAGAAGACCCCAAAACCACAATTCGGAATACCTAAACCCTAAAATGGACCAAAACCAAACGAACGAGCGAACCTCGAGGCATTGAAGCCATTTATCAGTTTTGCCGAGCTCTTCAAACAGAAGAAAACAGTGCTCGCATCTCACAACTCTAACGTATCTGCTCAATGTCTTAACCAAGGGCTCTTTATCGCTGATACTTCGCATTAACACCCGAACCAGTTCCTTGGCTTCGTTGTCCTCAGCTCTTGAAGAACCAGTTTTCCTCCTGGGTCGGGTGGCGCAAGAAATTCGTGTAGTGGGTCGGGTTAGAAGATTACACGGTTGGGTCAGGGTGGGTGTGTAAGTTAGTGAGGAATTTTGTTTAAATGGAGAAGGAAATGTGGAGAGTTGAGGAGAAAGAGGCGATAAAATCAGGGCCATCTTTTCTTCTTTCTGCGTTCCGTTCGTTTGGAAATAGGGGATCTTTCCAAACATATAGGTGTTATCCATTAATTAATAAAAATTATAAAATAATCATTTAATTATTTATATATTTTAAATTTATATTTTTTTATTAAAAAATTAGTGGTTATCAATATTGAACGTTAATTTATTAATTAGAATATGATAAAATCATATTTTAATGATGTCTACTAACATTGTTGTTGCTTTCAAGCACTAGTTTGATGGTATAATATTTTAGGTACTAACACGACAAAATCATGTAAATATATACTCAATCCAAAAAATATAGTTCAAACAATTTTATGATCCGATTTTATCATATCTCAATCAATAGATTAATGTCTAACTCAGAAGACCGCCAAATTTTTAATAGAAAAAAAATGAGTTTAATACATATGAATAATTGAATGACATTTTATAAATTTTAATAGTTAGAGACTCATCAAAATAACATTCTATAATCATATATTGTTTTATGTTTTATCCTTGTTTTTAAGTATTTACTAATTTAAATATTTTTTTGAAGCTTTTATAATTATTTTAATCCTTAAATTTTAATCATATATTTAATCATATGTCTTTTCTTTGTCTTTTGAAACTTTTAATTATTGATCTGAATATTTTCTTTTAAATATTGATCGGAATATGACAATAATTATAAAGACGACATCAATTATCATATCTCTTATTTTTGTCTTTGAATCTTTTAATTTTCTTTTAAATGTTGATCGGAATATAACAATAATTACAAAGATGGCATCAATTATTATTTTTTCTTTCATTTCGATACTCACATCAATGAACCCATCAAATAATTTTAATAGTTAAATACTATTCTTTCTAATAATCTTAAATTCAAACAATACTATCAGCGAGATAAATATGTTATCAATAATTGAAATAAATAAATATTATCTTATAATCACCTTAAATAATATACTTACATCAACTATTTTATTTTTTCTACACCCCAAATATATATAATATTAATCTTTTAGAAAAATCCAAAGTTCGAAGGCTAAAACAGATGAAGTTGAAAGAAGAATAAAAGTTTGTGAGATAAGATGGAAAAGGCCATAATCAAAATGAGATAAGGACGAATCCGAGGTTACTTTTGAACAAAGGATAGGAGCCCATACATGAACCAAATGTTAATGAACTTCCAACAGAGGTCTTATGCTATTTGGGATTGTAGTCGGACAAAAATAGCACTCATTTCTTTATGTAAATTTCCTTGCCATTTACATGTCTCATATTTACAGAATAATTGGCCTCAACCTACAAAATTCGTAATGAAACTGCAGCCTGAGGTTTATGAAAGCGATTCATTGATTGCGCAATGCTGAAATTCAAACCCCCCGGACTTGCTGCATCCCACCTTACAATAACAATACAGTTAATAACAACAAAAGCATATGAACAACAAAAAAAAACCCAAAACCCTATTTTTTTTCACTTCTCTTCCTTTCTTCCCCATTTTCCTTTTAACAATTTACGATTCTTACTTATCTTTCAACTGTATTTTACTATTTTCTATGGTTCTGACTACTTCCAACACAGTGGCATTGCAAAAGAAACATCTTTGACAATTTAAAAGATGTCTACTTATGCACACATAGCAAGACCTGTGGGAACACGGTACAAACTCTGCATCGGCTTTCGAGGCATAACAAATGCAACACATGCCATCATCGGCATCGCTTTCTCCACATTCAAGTCCCTCAATCTTCTTTGAATCACTATGGCTGATCAGGACGGCCAAGAAATTCTCTAGTGAACAAAGTTTTGGCACGTAGGCTTCTCCTCTAAAAGATGTACCCTGCAAAATGAAGGTGTAAAAAGAATCAAGACTGAATAGAAACCTTGAAATGAGAAGAAAGGAAAAAATATCGGTGGAGCAAAAAGAAAGATGATAAACTGTTGGAGATATTAGAGCTAACACTACTAACCCAATTATACTCTAACATGTACTGCAAACCATAATGCATAGTTTCGGGGCAATCCATGTTTGCAAACACATCCACAACATCATTCTGATCTTTGAATTCGGAGTCCGTGCTAGCATCCAACAAATTCACAATGATCCCTACTAAAGGGGCTAGTATCATGCCTCTGTTTACTTTCTCTAAAGATTGACCGTGCCGTCTAAGTGACCTGTTAATAAAAAATGCTGATAGAGTGAGTAAAAAGAACAAAAGCAAGTATTTAGAAGTACCATGTTTTTCATATACTAATTAACAAGGCCAAGTTGTAAGACTAGTCAGTTCAAACAGCTGGGGGGAAAAATCTGAAATTTGAAACTCTTCAACGTGTCCACAAAAATATTTAAGTGGAAGAAAAAAGAGGGCAACTATAAAACCCATGTTGCTCTGCGACTAATTTTCTAGAAGAACCCATATCCAACACTTGTGTCCGACATATTTTTGAATATGGGTATAGGAATATGACCAAGTAACTTATCACAAAAGAAAATTGAGGTACAAAATCTAAAAATCAAGTTCATCATATGTCTAGCATGCAACTTTGTAAAAGGCAATCAAGTAACACATTGCCTCTCCTTATATGACGGATTACAGCATTAATGTGGAAAGTAATCGGGACACTAGACATTATAATTTATAAAAAGAAAAATGATAGTCATAAAATTTAGATCAGCCAGGTAACGACTTACAAGTCAAAAAACTCGGCATCTGCTGCTGAAGTTACGTAGTTCAGAATGAAGACAATCAACTCAGTCAGTCTTCGAAGGTTTGTATCAGGCCCTGAGAGGAATGCTTGAGGGATCTCGTGGGTACAAAACTCCAATACCCTTGCGAGATTACACGAGAGATCGAATATGACACAGCATTTCCTCTGTTGAAACTCCAATACCTGCAAAAGGTCTATGGCATCAAATACAGATCCCGAGGAAGATGGGTTCGAATCAAATGAAAAAGTTGGGGTCCCCACATGTGGCAGTTATATTGCAAACTGACAAAATAATATATCCATTAACTCATACAGGATATGAATAAAGTCATTTTTCCTGTGATGAAAGCAGTATAACTTCAATTCTATGACAAAGTAATGCAAGTCACTTACAATCTTGCAGATGTTGGATAGCAAAAATATAGGCTATGTTTAAGTTCAAAGATTTGAAACAGTGTGATAACCTTTATACCTTAATACTATTCGGCCATCTTTGAACAACCAGAATTCATGATAACCAGTGTTTCTAGTAATTCAAGAAAAAAGATCTATTTGAAATATTTTCCAGATGATTCACCTAAAATAAAGTTCCTTGACTGCCCCAGTCATTGTCGTCTCAGACCTTTTATCTAAAATGTACTTTAATATCATCGTACATTCTCTCCACATTCATCTGTATATCGTACATCTCAATCCATCCATAAAATACAAAGAAAAAAACATCCAAGCTATGTTTTCAAGTAGAACTAAACTACCACTGACCCTATGTTAGATTGCTTTATAAAATTAGAGGAAGAAGAAAACATGTTTATAAATTCAACCGTTTAAGTATTTGGGTTTGAGAGACCATGGCGTACTAAGGCAACAAGAAAAGATGACAAGTATTACAGTCTATGGATCCAATCTGGAAAAGGATTGCTTTATAAAATTAGAGGAAGAAGAAGGCATGTTTATAAATTCAACCGTTTAAGCATTTGGGTTTGAGAGACCATAGCGTACTCAGGCAACAAGAAAATATGACAAGTATTACAGTCTATGGATCCAATCTGGAAAAGGTTGTAGCATTTATAACAGAAATTCAGTTTCATGGTTAGGAACTATGCATTGCCAGCCTTTTTTCAGGAACATTCGTGTAACCATTTTTGTTTTTTCTATTTTATCCTTCTTGTCTACTTTCTGAATGTGGTAGAAAAATGGTCGACAATGCATTTACAAGTCTGGAAAGATGCAAGTCCACTAAATTAGGTTCCAAGTTGGTGATAAAAATAGTATATATATGAGAAGCATGAATGCACAACCTCCAAAAGAGCTAACAAAAGAAGACATTTGTTTGAATGAAAGCATATTCATACCTGGTATTTTTCTTGCATTTCCCTAATGGAAACTGAGAATTCAGTCATTGTCCAGCTGAGAGTGTTAAATAGACGATTCAAAAAAGCTGAGAACAACTCTTCATCAGAGATGCAAGCTTCACGCAGCAGTCTCTATAAAAATATAGGCCCCCGCGGGGAAAAAGTTAGAAAGAGGAGATTTCAGATGAAAAGAAGATGGACGAAACGCACTAGTAAAGGTTCACACTATTCACCTGGAAAATAACCGAGGATGATGAAGATTCTCCATGCTTTGAAGACCCAAACCCAAAACCCTTGCAGAGGCGTAGAAGAATGTTTGTAACCGGAATCCAAGATCGGTTGTCAAATGCTGACAACAATGCCTTTGGCATTATATGTTTTGCGACTTTATTGTTCTCAAAAGCTGCCAAATACTCTCTGTACTGCACCAAGACTGATATTGACTGGAGAAGAAGATCCTTTAAATCTGCACTTGATATCCTCGGATCATTGAAATGGGTAACTACAAATGTCACCTGATAAATACAGAAGAAAAAGAAAACTCAAATCACATCTCAGAATGAACTAAGGAGAAAAATCCAAAAAGTCATTTCTTTGAGCTTATGCTACAGATATTCCGTGGTATCTTTTGTATCGGGTATTTTATCAATAATATTTGAGGTACTCTTTTCTTCCTTCCAATGTTCGTTAACATACCTTTAGTATGTGAACGAATACGAAGGGAGTTTTTAATGAGACCTCCAACTTCTATCAAAAAAAAAATATATGCTACAGATTTCAGAAACAATAGGGCTGTGTGCTTTAGGGAACTCTGAGATAACAAAGCGATTGAACAGAACAAGTCAGTTTCATAATAACCACAAACAACAAATAGAATAGGCACAGATTATTACAGTTCAATACGCATATTACACCACATGTTCTAAATGTTTAATCAACAATGTTC